TTTGCAATGTTGATGACTGCCTTGTTGTCACAATACAGTCTGAGAGGACCCTTAGCTTTAATGCCAAGTTCATTAAGAAGAGTCCTGAGCCATAGGAGTTCAACAACCCTGTGAGCCATAGCTCGATATTCAGCTTCTGTACTTGATCTAGCAACAACATTCTGCATCTTACTGCGCCATGTAACCAGGTTCCCTCCCACAAATGTACAATACCTTGAAGTTGATTTCCTGTCCCCAACAGAACCGACCCAATCTGCATCAGTATAAGCTTCAATTTCAATTTTATTGTTTTTCCTGAATAGAATTCCCTTTTTTGGGAAAGTTTTCAAGTACCTGAGAATCCTTTCAACTGCTTTCATACGAGGGATCTTTGGTGAGTGCATGAACTGGCTGACAACATGCACAACATAAGCAATATCTGGTCGAGTGAGAGATAAATATATCAGCTTCCCTACCAATTTTTGGTCTCTCTCTNCTTTTTGAGTAAACCCCTTTGCCACAAGCCTGGCCTTGTACCTTTCAATGGACCCGTCCTCCCTATGCTTTACAGTAAACACCCACTTGCACTCAACAGTGCTCTTCCCCTCTGGTAGATCCACTAATTCCCAAGTTCTTGCTTTCATTAGGACTTTCATTTCTTCATTCATAGCTTCTTTCCACCTTGGATTAGACACAACCTCTAAGTACCTAGAAGGAACTTGTACGGAGGAAAGAGCAAACACAAAGGAGTGATAGGCTGGAGATAAATGTGAGTAAGAAACAAAATCAGCAATGGGATGCTGAGTGGTACAAGAACGGATAGGCTTACGGAGAGTAATAGGAAGATCCAAATCAGAAGTATGTGTGTCAGAATTACCTTGGATTGCAGAGACAGATTGATCCGAGTCCAACTGGTTGCTGTCATGAGTTTGAGGGCCCTTTTTTCTTCTATTGTAGGTGATTCGTATCTCTTTCTATTGTCTACTGGAGCCTTCAGGGACATCTGCAGTATCAGGAGAGGTAACTGGCACAGTGGGAGCCTCACTAGGTTGACCCGGGCTGGCACAACTAGGAGTAGAAGAAGAGGATGGAAGGCCCGAGGCAGATAGGGAAACAAAAAAGGAGGGGGAATGAGAATCCTCTTCCATCCCACTAGTCTCCCCCTGAAGAGGATTCTGAGAAGACTGAAAATAGGGTTGAGAACTCAAAAAAGACCACATCTCTGGTGACATACTTTCTCTTGGAGACAGGATCATAACACTTGTAACCCTTTTGTGTAGGAGAATACCCCAAAAATATTCCTTTCGTAGCCCTAGGATCCAGCTTGGTCTTCTTTGGATCCTTCACATGTATGAAACATATACAGCCAAAGACCCGTGGAGGAAGAGGAAAGTCTGGAAGAGTAGGACACAGAACAGAGAAAGGGGTTTTCATACCCAATACCTTAGATGGCATCCGATTTATCAGATATGATGCAATAAGAACAACTTGAGACCAGTATTGCTTGGGAACCTTGTGCTGGAATAGTAAGGCTCGAGCTATCTCCAATAGATGTCTATTCTTGCGCTCAGCAACCCCATTCTGTTGAGGGGTATTAGCACAGGATGATTGATGTAACATGCTAGCATCTTCCATGAATAAGTTCAAGGATTTTTCAAAATATTCAACAACATTATTTGACCGGAATTGCTTAATCTTCTTATTAAATTGTGTTTCAATCATTTTGCAAAATGCCATAGTTATCCGTGGTACTTTATCTCGTCCTTTTAACAGATAGATCCATGTGCATCGAGAGTAGTGGTCAAGAAAAAACTGATAAAGTAACGAAAGCCATCAATAGAAACAATAGATCCAGGGCCCCAAACATCGGAATGAACCAAATCAAAAGGAGCTCGAATTTCATTACTGGAAATTGGATAAACAATTCTACATTGTTTTGACATTTGACATACTTCACAGACTAAACTCTGACTTGAAATGCCCTTAAACAATTYGGGAAACAACATTTCTAATGAAGAGAAAGGTAAATGACCTAGCCTAGCATGCACAGATGCAACCTAGGTATTGACTCCACACTCTCTGGACTACTAGCAGCAGATGCTTGTAAGGCTGAACVGATGTCTGCATCAAAATAGTAGAGGCCTCCATACTCATGACCACTCCCAATCGTTCTCCTCGTCAATTTGTCCTGAAAGACACAATGAGTAGGAAAAAAGGTTATAGTAAAGTTCAAATTTTTGGTAAGTTTTGAAACAGACAAAAGATTTGAGGTGAGACTGGGAATATGCAGGACTGATTTAAGAGAGAGGTCCTTGCTTAGGTCAACCGCCCCTTTTCCAGAGATGGTGGAGAAAGACCCGTCAACAACTCCCATTTTATCCTAACCAGACAACAATTGATATGAAGAGAATAAGGAGGATATATGTGTCATGTGGTCAGTTGCACCGGAATCAATAATCCAAGAAGTAGAGTCAATAGAACTAGTTGCACTAAAGGCAAAGACTATACCTGATCTGGCAAGAGAGGAGGAAGCAAAAGAATTACTCCTTAGACGGGCTAAAGCCCGGCTAAGGACCTCTACCTCACTAGCAGTGAAGCCCAAGGCACCGGCTCCAGAGGAATCAGTAACCTGCCCCATGGGAGAAGAAGTCACTGTTGGTATACTCTGTGAGTTGTCACCATTGTTACTAGTGACAAGGTTCCCACTTGCCGCATGACCCTTCTGTTGCTTCTTGTCCTTTCTCAATGCAGCTGGCTTCAGGTGTGGGTACAGGACCTAACACTTTTCTTTTACATGTCTTTCACCCCCACAATGGGTGCACTTAAGATGCTTCTTGTCTGGATGTCTGTTTCCCTTAGTAGAAATCAGGGCTGAATGKTCTCCAAGTTGTTCAGCTGGTTGAATCTGAGAGTCAACTTGCATCTCCTTTCTCCTCACTTCTTAATTCCTTACCAGATAATATACATGGTGTAACTTGGGCAGTTCATCTCTTCCTAGAATTTGTGACCTTATGCTCTCATACACTGGGTCCAGGCCAGCCAAGAACTTAAAGGCTCTGCTCTCTTCAATCTGCTTATCATGTCTCTCCTTGTCCCTGGCATTTTCCCAGTCCAAAATCAAGTGATGGTCAAATTCTTCCCAAAGTCCTTCCAGAGTTGCAAAGTATGTTGCAACTGTCATATCCCCTTGCCTTAAGGCAGCAATGTCTTGATTCAATCTGTAGATTCTAGTATTATTTTTCTTCTGTCCATAGGTTTTAGACACATTTTCCCAAATCTTGGCTGCTGTGGTAAAGTGTTGAACAGTCCTGGCAACACGTGGAGTCATAGAGGCAAGCAACCAGGACATAACTGTGGCATTCTCCTTGCGCCATACTGCATACTCCGCACTGCCAACTTCAGGTTCCTTCTTATTCCCATCTAAGTAGCCTGTGAGATCACGGGAAGTAATAAAAAGCATTGCAGAAACGGACCACTCCCTAAAGTTGTATTCATCCAACAACACACTTGTAATCTGCAATCTGTGCAGATTTGGGTTTTCTAGATTTGAAGACTTCCCACCAGGTCTGTTATCTCTAGAGGAGACCTCTCCGGATATTGAAGACATCTTGGCTGCAGATACTGTGTAGATAACACTGTTTGAGACTAGCCGAAATGATAACAGTGCTGAAAAAAGACTAGTTGCAGTATTGAAGAAGGTTCTGACAGCCCACAACACTGTTTCAGACTTGCCGAGACTGACACAGCTCTGAAGTAGTTCAGTTACAGCAGCAAATAAGGTGTACTGTGAGCAGGAAACCGACCTGAAACTGAGAGCTCTCTACCACTGCACTATGCAGATTTCTCTTGGGCTTCGATTACTGCAACTGTAGAGATTGTTTCTCCCCCTACGGCCAATACTAGGACTGCTGAAATCAGTCCTCAAACTAGGTCTGTCCTATACAGACCTCCCTTAGCAGCCGAATGGCTACTAACTACTAGAAACAGTCTAGTAGGACATCAACTTCTGGGTCTTACTTCCCTTGCGCCCTACAACCAAGGGAAACCCTAGGTTCGAACCTTGTATTGTTCTCCTGCAACCCTAGGGTTTCACCGCAGCAACCAAGATAAAAAAAAGAAAGAAAGACAGCAAGAGAGAAGAGATGGCGTCGGCTGTAACCAGGAAAGTGCTCAATGCTCTGATACCATGAAAGCTGAAATGTTGTAGCCGAAGTAGTAGAAGAGAGAAGGAGACCAAGAGGTGCTGAGAATGTCGAACTGAATGACCCAGTCGACAGTACTATCATTTATATTAGATTACAGTACAATGTTACAGGAAATGTCTGGAATGCCCCTGATTAGTGATGAGACACCCAGACTACTTAAAACAGCAAATAAACTTAGGCTCATTAACACAGGCCCAGTACATAACAACTTAAACACAAATACAGACTAATAAGAAAACTTATCAGCCGAACCATCAATACATAAAACCCTTCAACCTAACAGTGTTTAAGGGAGAGGAGTAGTTGTGGGTTCTATTTTGTGTTTTGTTTTGTTAGAGTCAAGTAGGTGTTGGAGGTTGGTGCCCTGTGGAAGGGTTTCTCTTGTTTGGTTGGAGTTTTTCTTTTTGTATGTTTTAGTGGTGTTTGTTGGTGTGAAGTTGATGTTCCCTTTTTGTGGGTGATATCTTGTTACCTCTCTTCTGTATTCTCTTTTTTAATTTTAATGAATTTTCTTTTATTATAAGAAAAGTGTTAAAGATAATAATTCTAATATCATGGGATGAGCAATTCAAATGAATGGAATTGGAGCTTATGCCAATTTTTTAAATTGCATATAAATTTTAAATATATGTGGATGGTATAATAAAACAGTGCTGAGCTTTGTAATTTCTTCAGTTATGGTTAGGTTCCAATTTTTAACTTTAGTGTGCTCATATTTGACTAACAATAACCATGATTCTCTCTCTCTCTCTGTATGTATATATCCTCTCAACTTGTTTCATGCTTATGGGGTCATTTTGTTATCATAATTTGCAGGCATCAACCAAAGTTCATCAAAATAATTGTCGAAGAGGTCTTGGCTAAGTTAAGTAAAACCTTACTGGATGTTGCTACTTACCCAGTTGGATTGGATTCCCGTGTAAATGACATGACTTCATTGTTGAACATCCAATCTCATGATGTTCGCATTATAGGAATCTTTGGTATGGGCGGAATAGGTAAAACAACAATTGCAAAGGCTGTCTATAATCTAATCTTTCGTAAATTTGATGGTAGCAGTTTTCTTGCAAATGTTAGAGAAAATTCCAAAAAACCTAATGGGTTAGTTCATTTACAAGTACAACTTCTTTTTAATATCCTAATGGAAGAAGATTTGGAGATAAGAAATATTGAGGAAGGGATCAACTTAATCAAAGGAAGACTCCACAATAAAAGGGTTCTCATTGTTCTTGATGATGTGAATCAACACATCCAATTAAATGCATTAGCTAGAAATCGCAATTGTTTTGGTGTGGGAAGTAGAATCATCATAACCACTAGGGATGAGCATTTGCTAAATGTACTTCAAGTGGATGAGAAATACAAGGTGAAGGAACTGAGTCATGATGAATCTATTGAACTCTTTTGTTGGCATGCCTTCAGAAAAGACCATCCACTAGAAGATTATGTGGAGCTTTCAAGTTGTATAGCAGGTTATGCTGGAGGACTTCCTTTAGCTATTGAGGTTTTAGGATCCTTTCTATTTGACAAAAGGAGCATACCTGTATGGAGAAGTGCTTTGGAGAAACTAAAAAGAATTCCTCGCAATCAAATTCAGAAAAAACTTAAAATAAGTTTTGATGGACTGGATGATCAAGAGAAGGATATTTTCCTTGATATTGCATGCTTCTTTGTTGGGATGGACAAGGACTATGTCACTAAAATACTAGATGGTTGTGATTTCTCTTCAGAAAATGGAATTAGTATTCTTGTTCGTAAATCTCTTCTAACAATTAATAAAGAGAATGAGCTGAGGATGCATGATTTACTACGAGACATGGGCAGAGAAATTGTTCGCAATGAATCCCCCAAGGAGCCTGGAAAACGTAGTAGATTGTGGTTTCATGAAGATGTCTACAATATATTGATGAAACATGTGGTAAGAATTCATATAAAAATTCATACAAAAATCCGTATTGCTTGCTTTTTGAAGTTCACTGGTGCATGCAAATATTTTTTTAATGTTTGTGCAGGTTCAAAATCTGTGTATCTACTATTTTATGCATGTTGGACTTCTATAACAATCTAAGTTTGTAAGATCCAATTTTGCACTTGTATTGGGTCCTTTCCCTTGTATACTAGCTATTCAAATTTGGTTGTTCTTTACCATGTGACAGAGAAGGAATTAGGCAAGCTAGAAGGTTCATCCCATTGGTTAACTAGATTTGGAAAATGAAAAGTAGGAACTTGAATAATACTTGAGTCAAATGGTCACATGTGTTTTTTTTTGAAAATTTTCTATATTTTTGTAGTTTTACTTTTAGGCAGTAAGGGTATTTTTGAGGGAAAAGGAAAAAGGAAAAAGGAAAAAGGAAGTAACGGTATTTTAGTCATTTTTTCAGATTGTATGTGGGGTCTAGCCTAGTAGTCTAATTTTTGTAGTCATAGCTTAGTTGTGTTTAAAATTTTACAGTCATTGTTTAAGTAGTTTAGGAGTTATTTAGTTCTTTGTTTTAGAGTATAAGTTGCATAATCATGATTTTGAGTTTTCTTAGTTTAGGAAGGAGTTTGTCTGACTTCAGATAGTCTATATTTGTAAAGTTGCAATAAATTTCAATGATGAACTTACGAGATGATTTCTACTATGCGACTTTTAGTCAATGATTTTGAAATACCTAGGGTGATTCTAGAGACCTTGCAAGCAATTCTTAGTATTCCTTCTTTCTCTATATTTGAGATTATTTCTAGTCTCCTAGTACATGTTTTCTTAGTGGAGTTAGTAATTTCCATTTTCCACCAAATGCTTAGAAGAAAAGCCATCAAGAGCAATATTCAACATCAAATAAAGGATTGAACTGATCCTAGGTAAGTCTTCTTTCAATTTGTCAATGTTATCAATATAGTGAGGAGGCTACTAGTTGTTTTGGCCTCTCTAGTTGATGCAATCAACCAAATAAAAATATTCCCTAAATTTATGATGTTGATGCAATCTCATGATTAAGTTAATATATTGCAAATATGTAATATAAGTAATATAAAACATTTAGCTTGCAGTCTTTATTTTGCAAACATATAAAGAAAGTGGGTGCAAATCTGTCCTATTACCCCCTTGTTGAAGACTGTCTGGAAAAACTAGTAGGTGGATGGCACTAGCTCTTTCATTTTGGCATAAAAACTTGGTGCCATTAAAGAGAGATTAAAAATCTGGAAAATGGAGAATAATTTGAATTCAGAAACTGAAAAGTGAGCTTTATTGAGTATTATTGAGGAAATTGATTCTACAGAAGAGGTAGGCTCTTTATCAGAGTAAAGTAGATTGAAGAGATTTCAGACAAAAATTAATTATGATAAATTGGTTGTGAAAGAAGAAATCAAGTGGAGGCAAAGAGTTAAAGTGGTTTGGTTAAAAGAGGGGGACAAAAACACTCACTTTTTTCATAGAATGGCAAATGCCAGAGCAAGAGCTTCTTCAATCAGTAAGCTGGAGTGGGAAGGAAGATTGAGGGAATCTGATGCAGATATGAAGGTAGTGGCAACTAACTTTAATAAATGAAGTATGATGAGCTTGAGATTATGTGAACCCAACCTTCACCTACAACTTTTCTGAATCTATCAATCCAAGCTCTAAGAGATTGCTTTAGGCCATAGAGAGGTTTCTTTAAATGACATACTTTCCCTTCACTGTTAGGAAAGCTCACACTAGGAGAAAGGTCTATATAAACCTCTTCTTGAAAAGGTCACCATTGAGAATAGCATTCCTCACATCCGTTTGATACAAGGGCCATAATAAATTTGTGGCAAATGAATTACTCTAATGGAGTTCATTTTGCTATAGGTGTAAAGGTCTCCTGATAATTAGTGCCATAGGTTTGGGTATATCTTTTTGCCACTAATTGAGCCTTGTATCTCTCAATTGAGCCATCAAGCCTGTGTTTAATAGTGTATACCCATTTGCATCCCATAGGAACTCCTTAGGAAGGGAAACTATTTCCCATGTCTAGTTCTTTACAAGGGCCTCCATCTCTTGGTTCATAGCATCCTTCCTAGACCTGACAATTGGGTTTGGTGGGTCGGGTTTGCATTGGGTCAAGACTCTTAGGGTTGATTTCGGATCAGGTTGAATTTTTGGTTGGGTCGGTAAATTCTAGATCCTAACCCTAAATGTTCAGGGTAGGGTTGACCCACAGGTCAATTTGGGTCATCCCTAAAAATAACTGCAGTTTTAAAAAATAAAGAATCGCAGTTTTAATAAATAAAGAAAAAATACACAAAAAATGCCAGAATTAAAGGAATTAACCTTAAAATTCTAAACATAAAATAAAAAAATTGAACATTAAACAATTCAAAGAGTAAATGATAAAGAGTAAAGACTAAATAGTAAATTAAAGAGTGGAAACTTCTAACAATACATAAATAGTCCCAATTAGACTTGACAATTGGGTCAACAGGTAGACCCATGACCCAAGCCAACCCGATTTTTTCCAGGTTGGGTTGGGTTGGGTCATTCTTAAATTCAGATACCTAATTATGAGACCCTAACCCTATTTTTTCGGGTTGAGCTGGGTTAGGTTCATGGTTGGGTCAACTTTTTGCTAAGTCTAATCCTTTCACTAAGGTGACTATATCACCTCTATAACACTATGGGGAATGGACATAGAAAAAATGGTAGAGATGCAAGCATAGTAGGATGGTAAAAGGGCATCATAAGAAACATAATTAGTAATAAGATAATACATTTCCTTTAACCCTTACGAATAGAAATAGGAAGATCAAGGTTAGAATTCAAGAAACTAGGTTCAGGAACAGGGGGCTCAAAATCAACAAAGGTTTCAAGTTTAGGATTATTTGAGTCTGGGTTATTAAATGATGGTAGACTTATATTTTCAGGAGTAACCTTACCCTCTTCCTTCGTTTGATGAAGCACTATTGCCAAGACCGAGGTTGATACACAAGAGGAGGAGATGGTGCATGAATATTACCATTGCAAGTAGATGGAATGAGTAAACAAAAAGGAGTTTGATCTTCACTGACACTTTCCTCCTTGAAGAGAAGGACGAGATGATTGAAAGAAAGGAGTGGACTTAAGGAAGGTGACATCTTTGGAAACATATCTCCTAATGATTTAAAAGGTGTGCTTAAGCACACAGGCAGGCGTATTTTAGGGTATGAACCTTGCTTAGGTCCCACGCCACGTAGAACACTTTCCAAAAGCGTGCGCTTCATCCCGGGAGTGATCCTTTTGAAAAATTGTTCATTTTTTTTTGCTTTCTAATTCATAGCAGTTGGGCTAGGGACTCTACTCTTGGACCTCGACCAAGCCCATTTCTTTTGTTTTTTTATGCTTCAATTGCCCACCAAAGCTCTGAAAAACCCATATATTTGCTAATGTTGCTCATTCATTCATCCTAATAAAAGATATTTTTAAAAGACACTTGAAGTTATAAAACCTTTTTTTATAGGAATTAAGAATTTAAGACCCTGATATGGACTTGCTTGGGCTTGCCTCGAGGGGCTTGGTACAAAGGTGGCTCGTAGAATTAGGAATGCATAATGTTTAACATCACATTAGCTATTTGAAGTAATGTAATTGGGGAAGAAAATAAAGAGATTAAGAGATTACATGCTTGAATATGGTTTATATGTTATGCTTGATTTTATTTTTAATTTTTTGTTTTAAATTTGTTTTACATGTTATGTTTATGTATTTTAATTTGAGATACTAAATTTTTTTAAAACTTATATTTTAAATTTAAGTTTATATTTTTAATAAATATTGTGTTTAATATTTTTAATATTTTGCATTTTTTTTTAATTTTTGAATTTTTTAGCATTTGGTCGCCTTGTTTCAAAACGGCACATGCCTTGCGCCTTGGGCACAAAATGGCCCTTGTGCTTTTTTTTGCACCTTGCACTTTTAAAACACTAATATCTCCTACCGGAATGAGGATCAAAACACTTAAAGCCCTTTTGAATAGAACAATAACTAAGAAAGACACATTTAATAGACTTGAGATCAAACTCAAGTCACGAGTGACTCATATCATGAACAAAGCAAGTGCAACCAGAGTTGTTGATGAGGAGATTAAAGATGAAGAGTCCTTGAAGGAAGCTTATTAATAAGGTACATGGTCGTTTTAACTACATCTCCCTAGAACCGAGTTGGAATATGCTTTTGGAAAAATGCTTTTTAGAAGGGAAACTATCTTTCTTTGGGTGGCAAAATTGTTCTAATCAAGTCAACTTTGGTGAATTTGCCTGTCTACTTCCTTTCGGTGTTCGAGATGTTAGTTAGGGTCTGTAGAAGTCTAGAGAAGATAACAAGAGATTTTTTGTTGGAACTTGGGGAGGAAAGAAAGGACCATAATGTTAGATGGGAAGTAGTAAGTAGGAGGGGGAGTTTTGGTGGTTTAGGAGTTGGAAACATTTAGAAGAGGGGGAAATGGTTGTGGAGATTGTCGATGGGTAGAGATAAAATATGGACAATGGTGATCTTATGCATTCATGGGCTAGGGTGCAGGACTATTTACTTGAGACACCAATGTGGCACCTTGGAAGTCCATCCATGCTGTCCTTCCTTTCTACCTTTTGTCAGGTATAATCTATTCTAGAAACCTGGTCAAGTTTTGGGAACATGTTTGGGTGGGGAATTCACCATTAAAAAACCAATTTCCTTCCTTATCAACTATAAAAATGAGCCTATATCCACATTCTTGTCTTCTTTGGGATTGGGTCTTGAGGTAGAATGGGATTTGGGGTTTAAGCGGGGCCTTAGATATTTGGAGTTGGACAATGTCTTGGCATAGATACAAATTCTACAAAAGGTTTTCTTAAATCCTTCTAAACTGGACTCTTGGATTTGGATCCTCTCTCCTTTTGGTTCTTTCTCTCGTGCCTCTTTTTTCAAAGCCTTAATTCAACCTTTTGATAGCCTTGGGCAACCATTTCCTGTTAAGGAAGTTTGGGGTAAATCGGTTTCTCCAAGGGTTGGGGCTATCTATTAGGAGATTTTCTTGGAAAGAATGAATACTTATGATTTACTTCAAAGAAAAGAAGCCTTTTTGGTGCCTATCTCGTAATTGGTGCATTCTCTATAAGGCTATTGGTGAGTCCTGTCATCACTTATTGATCTCCTGTCCCTTTGTTTTGTTTATTTGGAATTGGTTTCTCTTTTTGTTTGGTTATAGGTGGACCCCCACCAAACATGCAAAGCATCCGACTCTTTTGCTAATAGTTGGACAAAGTGAAGGGAAAGAATGCTATGAAGATGCACAAGAGCTATAGTTTGTTGGATAGTATAGGAGTAAAGAAATCAAAGAATCTTTGCAGAAAAGGAGAGAAATAGAGGGGTGATTATTGAGGTGATCACTGCCAGGGTGGTTCATTGGTTAAAATCAATGGACTTATTTGATGATATTCCCATAATGGTTTTGCTTAACAAGTGTCTCTCTTCCTTTATGGACTTTGCCATGCTCAGGTTTCATTAAGTTGAATTTTGATGGCAGTAGTGAAGGCAACCCTGGGCATTCAAGGATTGGAGTTTTCAGGATAGAGGAAGGTGTAGTCACTGCTCTGTTCTCAGGTCTGATTGGAGTTGGGGACTCACTCCGAGCTGAGGTTATGGCTGTGGTGGAGGGTGCAACAAGGGCCAAGGAATTAAATATTAACAAATTGAACATTGAAGGAGATTCAAAAGTGGTGGTATGTGACCTTATCTTAATGAGCAAAAACTCTTTAAGTGGCTGACTCAGGGTATAGAAACGAGATTGTAGTGGGTTAAGAGGTGTGGTAATTCATTTGCAGATGCACTTGCCAAACAAGGGGTGGGAAAGGACCAACTATTTTGGGTTTTCTTGTAATTTTCATTTTTATTTTTCTAGGGGTGAGTTAAGAGAGTTTACCTCCCTTCGCCTTTGTACTTATTCCTAATTTTTTTAATGAAACGGTTCTGTTATTGATAAAAAAAGCATTTGTTTTGGAACAGCAAGCCTCTAGCAACTTCAGTCACATGTCTATTTTCCTGCTCAACAACATTTTGTTGGAGAGTATGACTAACGAGCTTTGATGAATTACTCCCCTCTCTTCAAGGAAGGCTTGTAGATGTTTTTCAAAGTATTCGTTTGCATTGTTAGATTTTATTATTTTGATCTTCTCAAATTGTGCTTCCACATATGAAAGAAACTTTGAACAATTGAAGGAACATAATCCCTGCTGTTTATTAGGTATCAAGTGTACAAAGAATTATCATCAATGAGGAGAACAAAGTACTTGTATCCTCTCATGCATTGAATAGAATATGGACCCCAAACATTAGAATGTATGAAATGAAAAGCAATATTACTTCCTTCTATTACTAGCAAAATATGTGTTTTTACATTGTTTTGATAGATGATAGACTTCACATTGAGGACTCAAATTTGACACAAACTAATACAAATTAGAAAACAAAAGTTTTATAGAACCAAACGATACATGTCCAAGATGCCAATGCCACAATTTCAAAAGACTCAATTTTCACTTCAACAGGAATCAGCTTGGCACAAGAATCCTTGCTCAGGGGCTTTGCTTGCAAACTAGACCTTGAGAAGGCATATGATATGGTGGATTGGAGTTTCCTCTTAAAGGTGCTTAGGATGTGTGGTTTGGGGAAAGATGGTGCTTGTGGATGTTGGGATGCCTTACTTCGGTTCATTACTCTATGCTAGTGAATGGAGTGGTAAAGGATCTCTTTCTAGCCTACAGGGGCTTGAGACAAGGTGGCCCTCTCTCTCCTTTTCTTTTTACTTTGTTGGCACCATGGCAGATGTGCTTAGTTGATTAATCTTAAAGGAAAACAAGGAAGGGTAATAGGTGGTTGGAAGATTGGAAGGAATAGGGTTTTAGTGATCCATTTTCAGTTTGTAGATGATATTATCATTTTTTGTCAAGGAAGCGAGTTGAGGAATGTGAGAAACCTTAAGGGTTTAAGAATAGGCTTTGAGAGTGTTTCCAATTTAAAGATCAAATTTGAACAGAGTTGTGTAGCCGGGGTCAATTTGGCTGACAATGAAGTTGAGGCTATTGCATTTCACTTGGAATGCTCTATTATCTTCGTGGCCCTTGACCTACCTAGGCTTACCTTTGGGTGGGAATCCTAGGGAAATCAAATATTTGTATCCAATGATTGAGAAATGTGAAAAAAAGGTTGGCAGCTTGGAAAAAGAACTATATAATTCTAGGAGGAAGGGTAACTTTGATTAAGGCTACACTTGCCAACCTTCTAGTGTATTTTCTTTTTGTGTTTAGGATCCCCTCTAGGGAGGCTAGGAAATTAGAAAAGTTGATGAGAGATTTTCTTTGGGTACCAGGGGAGAGAAAAGGGATCATTTGGTTAATTGGGGAATAGTTTGTTGGAGTAAAGAGGCAGGGGATTTGGGTTTAGGGAATTTGGTCCTTAAAAATGAAGTTATTGGGAAAGTGGTTGTGGAGATGGCGCCTAGATAGAGAAAGTTTGTGGCACAGGGTGGTAGTTAGCATTCATGGCTGTTCTGCTTCTAGTTGGGATGTTGGAGTATCTCATCGGGCTACCCAAACAACACCATGGAAGGCAATACATGGCATCCTCCCCAAATTCCTCTAGTTTGTAAGGTATGACACTTGCTTGGGGAATTTGGTTCTTTTTTGGGAAGACATTTGGGTGGGTAATCAACCTCTAACAGACCTCCGGTCTTACCTCTATCTTTGAATTGGGACTTCGGTTTTCGTAGGGGCTTAAGGGATGATGAGCTTGTTTGTGTCACTAAACTTCTTTCCATTTTAGACAATGTTTGTTTGGACCCCTCTATTGCTGATAGAAGGGTGTGGGCCCCTAATCCAAAAGGTACCTTCACTCTTGCTTCCTCTTTCAAAACCCTTTGTTCTAGTACATCCACCGAGTCTTTCTTTGTGAAAGAAGTATGGACTAAGCATGTTTCTCCCAAAATTGTTGTTTTTTTTCCTGGAAGTGTACCTTGGTAAGATCAATACTTTGGAGAACTTACAAAAGAAAAATCCTTTCTTGTGTATATCCCCAAACCGGTGTGTTTTGTGCAAATGTCATAGTGAGGACTGTTACCATTTACTGGTTTCTTGTTCCTTTGCTGCAGCTCTTTGGGATGGATGTTTGTTTTGTTTGGTTGTAGGTGGAATTTGCCTCCGGAGTTAAAATTATTGTTTTCTCCATCTACCTTTGCTTGCCCAACAAAAAGAGGAAGCAATATGCGGAGATGTTTCAAAGCAGCCACTTTTTCCACAATTTGAGAAGAAAGGAACACAAGAATTTTTCCAAGATAAGGAGAGATCCTTTACAACAGTGAAGGACTGTATTTTAACTAATGCTATTCATTGGCTGAAATCCTTGGCTTCTTTCAACTCTTTCTCCTTTGACAACATTTGGAGGAATTGGGCTGCAATTGTACACACTCCGGTTAGGAAAAACGGAACTGCAACAGGCTAGGTAACTCCATCGGAAGGGGTTATTAAATTGAATTTTGACGGAAGTAGTCAAGGTAATCCAGAATCGTCTGGCATAGGAGTCCTGAGGAATGAGAATGGCAACATCATCTCCTTATTTTCAGGCCCGGTGGGGATAGGGGATTCCACAAGAGCTGAGCGAATGGCCGCAGTACAAGGGATCCAGATTGCCAAACAATTAGGAGTGGAGAACTTTCTAATTGAAGGAGATTCTAAAGTGATAGTGGGTTGGTTGTCAAATCCAAACTCAGTTGTTTGGAGTTATAAAGATCTCATAAAAAAGTGAAATGCTTAACAAAACACATAGTATGCAGATTCCTGTGGGTGGGTAGGGAGGCAAACGCCTTGGCTGATTTTCTTGCTAAACAGGGGTCCTCTAGAGATCAGTTATTTTGGGAAGCTTTGTAATCTTTATTTCTGATCACTTATAATGCTTAGGGGAGGCTGCATCTTGTGCCTCTCCAAGGGATGCTTGTAAATCTTCATTCTTCTTGTTTAATAAAATTAATTCTCAATTATAAAAAAAAACCCTGACGATACAATCGATAGACTAAAAGCTTGCGTAGTTGCTAAAAGGTATACTCAAACTTATGGTGTAGATTTTGATGAAACTTTCTATGCAGTTGCTAAGATCACCTCTATCCGCTTGGTTATTTCTTTGGTTGTGACTAACCATTGACCCTTGTATCAATTAGATGTTAAGAATGCCTCTTGCATGGTGACCTTATGGAAGAAGTGTACATGGAGCAACCACCTGGTTTTGTTGCTCAAGGAGAGTATATGGGTATGGTTTGTAGGTTAAAGAAGGCATAGTATGGTTTGAAACAATCTCCACATGCTTGGTCTTGAAATTTTAGTGAAGTTGTGGAATTTGGCTTACACAGATGTCAGTTTGGCTTTTTTGTGTTTAGTAGGACTTGTGGTGGTGGTACCATTGTCCTTGTAGTCTATGTAGATGATATTGTTATCACAGGGAGTGATTCGCAAGGCATCAGTGTTTGGTTGTAGGTGGCCCTCATCGTTCCAAATTTGATCCCAAGGCCTCCAAATGTTTTTTCCTTGGTTATGCTCAAAATCAAAAGGGATATTGCTATTATGAACTGACTTTTGGAAAAAGATTTGTCTCAATGGATGTCACCTTCTTTGAGGATAAACCCTATTATCCAAGGGTTTCTCCTAAGGGGGAGAATAGCGAAGTTGGGAGTAGCTCATCGGAAGTTCCTTTTCCAATCCCATTAAGTGAAGAAGGATGTAATGGGGAAGGATGTCAAAGGTGCAAGGATGTGAGAGTCTATCACAGATGATGGAGACAAGTTGATTTTGGACATTAGTAGTGTAGGCCAGCCCTAGTCCCCACTATAGGTCCAAATCCCGGTACCACAGTATCCCCAATTCCTTCTATATATCCAGATCCAGGTACCACAGATACTACAGATGAGAGACATTCAACGTTGGAGCCTTCACCTTCATTCAGTGACCTTGATCTCCCCATAGTAGTCCGTAAAGGCAAACGCCGTTGCACCACAACTCTCTACATTTCTCAGTTCCTATTCTATGATCATTTGTCTCCCTCCTACAAGTCTATACTACAGATGAGAGACATTCAACACTGGAGCCTTCACCTTCATTCAGTGACCTTGATCTCCCCATAGTAGTCCGTAAAGGAAAACGCCGTTGCACCACAACTCTCTACATTTCTTAGTTCCTATTCTATGATCATTTGTCTCCCTCCTACAAGTCTTTTTTCGCATCCATTGCTAATATTCCCATTCCCAGAACAATAGAGGAAGCATTGGAAGTACCAGAATGGAAAGATGCAATAAAAGTAAAAATGGATGCCCTCATCAGAAACAATACCTAGAAGATAGTTGATCAACCTAAAGGAAAGAAACTGGTTGGATGTAGATGGGTATTTGTTGGAAAACGTGGGGTTACTGGTTCAGATCTGAAAATAGAATTGTATATATTCCTAGGATTGTGGAAGGATTGATTTAGAAA